TCTAGCCAGCATGCTGGCTGAGGAATTCTGGGAGTTGAAATTCACCCATCTTAAAGTTGCCAGGGTTGAGAAACACTGCACTAGATGATTAGTAGAAAATACTACCTTTTCCAAAGCAGGTAATATCACTAAATTTCCCCATCCACAATATTATCTGATTCTTTGGACATTCTGCTCACTCTCCCTGTAGTCACTCCTTGCAGTCATCTAGTCTCTGGGCGTGCAAGTAGGAACAAAAGTGAAACTTGCAGACATTTTAACTACTTGCTTTCATTTTGCTTTATGGGAAGGGCATTCTGAAAGCTATATAATGCCAGCTGTATTGTGAGCCAAAACTCGGCTCACATTGAATGTGTAATCTGTTTCTACTCATTTCCCATTCCTTGCAACAGAAGGTAAAAAGATAGAAATCCATTTCTGCCTTCTCATATATACACAATGCAGTCAGCAGGGAGCGCTCAAATGTCAAAATTTTTTCAACCTGATGGGTATCTGGGCAACTTATAGCCAGGTGGCTGGTTCTCTCTAAGCTACAATGGTGAGCTCTCTCCAACCATTTCTGCAAATGCAAGTGTGCCTTTTTCCCCCCACAGCAGGGCATACACTTCAGACCATCCAGTGCTCACATTGCATTCTTTATATACTCCACCAAAACCTGTTTGTTTTCTCAGGCATAGTTGATTTCTATACAGGCTGTGTTTATTGACCTTGATCATTGTATTTACATGTTTAAGAGCCATTAAAAAAAAATACATCCTTAAGATGGAAGGTGGGGTGGGGTGAGAAGATGATGAGCAGTCAGCTTGTTTTGATTAAAAAACAAAAAATGCTATTTGCATTATACATTGGTTTCTAATGAAGCCTTTAAGAACCCAGAGAGACCTCTGTGGCTAACTGGGGCCAGGTGTCTCACTTGATGAGTACAAAATCAAACTACAATCTGTGAAAATGCTAGGCTATTTCAAATGAATAATACAACCAAAACATACTGGTATGTTTCTAAAATATATGCATATATACAAATACATATTTCTTTATAAAACTCAAATGCATCTTTTTCAATTAAATAAGTTTATATGGTCAATGAGCACCTGGCTTTCATAGACACCTTGAATAAAGAGGGTGAACTCTCATGTGAAGGAAGTTTGTTGTGGGGACAGCAGCTATGCAGAATGGAGTCAGCTGTAGGGCACACAAGAACCCAGTTCCTGCAAATGTCTCCCTGTACCGGACAGTCTTAATCACCAGTAATCATGTTGGCAAAATTGCAAAAATATTCTCAAAAAAACAAAATGCTAGAAATGAGGAAATTTTTTCCTTCAGTTGTTTTGAAAGCAGCTATGATCTACACCAGTGTTTTTCAACCTCAGCAATTTTAAGATGTGTGGGCTTCAACTGGCTGGGGAATTCTGGGAGTTGAAGTCCACACATCTTAAAGTTGCCAAAGTTAAAAAAAAAAAACACTGCTCTACACAATCATGAAAACAAGGATATGCAAAGCCATCTGTTATACTTCCCATCTACTTCTGCATGATAAGCCTCTCTGTGCCATTCAAGACTGATCTTAGTTTGCAATTTCACAAAGAACCCTTTGTCTCAAGCTGCACTAAAATAGCTCTTGAGCCCCACCCATCTGCAGGAAGGAAGAGAGAAAAGCAGTTTCACCTGGCAAGAAGCATGCAAGAAGAGCTACAGCTTGAGAAATTGGAAGAGATACTGCTTTAACTCAATCTTCTTCAACGGGCACCCTCTGAATGTGATGGATGTGAATATCTCTGGCAGCATGGAGATTGGAAGGTTGCTTTAATTTCTACTGTCAGCATACCGTTTACTTTTGGATCCCTGAAGTGCTTGCTTAAGCTAGAGAGCAGTTAAACAGTTTATTAAAAAGTCAGAATAACCTTTTAATGTACTGGCCTGCAAAGTCAAATTCTTTTCTAAAACATCTGGAGAACTACAGATCACAATATCCCTCTCCATCTGCCATCTTGAGAGGTGCTGTTGGGAACTGTAGTTCAGCTGCATTTGAGGGTCACATATTCCCCACCAGTGTTCTGAAGACAACTAATGAGCTTTATTGTTGCATTCACAATACAGATGTAAGTACTGTATTGCTATTTCTCTATTAGTTGATATACTCAAATCACTCTTCCCCACTCAGAACCTGGAGAATCTGAAACAATCTTAAAAATGCTTGGTATTTGCTCCTAGTGTTTTTTACTCTGCTCTTGGGCCAAAAAGGCCTTCAAAGCACCTTACTTACAGTGGAAAAACCCCATCTATAGACTTACATGCCTGATTCATACAATGTGGCTTGTTCAGTGGACTTATTATGTTGTGTGAACTGAGCCAAGCAAACCATGGTTTAGCTCACTGGTTGAATATTCTAAATGAGGTAACATACAAAAAAGAGAATGGGACTGAAAGGTGAAAAAAAAAGTTCAGGCATCATTTCTTAAAATTAAATTTTGGTTCTTAAGTAATAGCCTGCTAGTTATAATTCAGGGAAAGAAGGAATCTGACAGAGTTAATGGATTGGCCCTATTTCCTGCCTTATCTCCTTCAGCTGCTGCCACTTGATGAAATGGTAGTTGTTGGGTTACAGCTGTGGGAGAAAATAGGGAGTTGGGCTTTCTTTCAGTGTGGCCTTTCCTGCATGGACATGCAAGGATGGAACTGCTCTTCCAGCCTTGATGTCACAGCTGGTGCTCCACAGGTCTAGATGGGGGTTCCTTTAGCCTTACTCTGACTGCTGTCTCTCTAGAAAGGCAGCATCTTTCCTGAGTCCTGGTCCTAGTAGACCAAT